TTAAATAAAAAATATCATCAACACTCGCTTTACGAGATTATTTTAAACAGACATACCTGTGATCCGCTGCCGCTGACACTTTGTACATTCGAGCCGGTTTGTCGAAGATAACTCGTGTCGTTGAAAATCTTTTTATCACCACCACCCGGCTTATGCTTCACGTTGTCCAAGGAACCGATTTTGCTCTCAGCTTTTATATCAACTTTCTGCGTCTGAATCTGAAATCAATCATTGTCTGCAATACGTACACATTGTAGTAAATTGAATAATAGAGCGGACAGTGTAATTTGTAATTTAGTACGCAGTAATTCTTAATTGGACTCCCTCAAGCCTTTGGCGTCGTGCTTTCTAAACTAATAATTTGATCTTGACAATGAACATTTATATTATACTTGGGTACCTACTGGTTTTAAAACATGCAGGAACATGCTTTAATTGATCTCTTTAAATTGAATTTACTTACCTTAGAGCATATACTACTGGAGGCAGCTTCCATTATTTCCATTAACAAGAGAGATATAGTTTGTCTACATGCTCTCTTTTTTCATAGCACTGGATTGGCCAAGACCTTCCTCCTCGAAATAGCCTCTTTCGTATAATTTATTAACAAGTAAGGGGAGCGTTTTAGCCAATGCCTTGCTGTGAAAGGGAGACAGCATGTAGCGAAACATTTCTACCCTGTCTACACCTTCAACGTCTGAGAAATTACCTCCAGTAGTACATGCTCTAAGTTACTTACTGTAAAAAGAGTACATTCGAATTCGGTAAACTTTGTAATTTTTAACGAGGACAACAGAGAGATACACAGAGACAACAAATATTAGTTTAAATAGTCACGGCAGCTAACGGATTAATTACTCCCTTCAGAATTTCGTGATTTACGATCCAGATTATGTAGTGGAGGATATTGTGTGATGAGATAATTTGATGTACTTACGCCGTTGTTCGTGTCCTGTGGCGTCTTAGGTGGCGTCGCCGATGACTGAATACCAACAAACAATAATGACTTGTTAATAATGACAGGTGACAATGCATGCGAGAACGAGGGGCATGGCGGTCGCTCGCTAGAGTAAAGGGCTATGTCAATCTGTAGCTGATGATGCAGTCCGGGGGTCCTTGTTTGAAAAAGATATTCTAATATATGCTCAAGATTTCTTCACATCAAGAAACGCTAGACGCCGAGTTCGTCGTTAATACATTTTTCTTGATGCTAGAATTCTTGTTTTCTATCAATTTTAATAATTAGCTGATAAAAATGTACAAAATGCAGGTCTACATTAACATTCTGTATTACATGCGTGGTTTACTAAAAATATGTATGATTCTCTATTTGACCAAACTGTAACTCTCGTGACGTACATGACAGAATTATTATTGTATGTATTACAGATTAAAAAAAAATGGCAGGCACTTAGTTAACGATAATCACTACGAAACTCTGGATAATGAGTCAAATAATAAATGAGAAGCACATTCAAAGTAAATGGTTCTGTTTCTCTATTTAAATAGTTTCTTTCAATGATCTTAGGAATAAAAACACAAGCACAAAAGACTGAAAGTAGTAATTGTCTTGATACAAGCTGGATTTTTAATAATAAGTAAAACGAAATTCTTACTTTGATGGCCCCACCGCCAGGAATGTGTTTAGCGTTGTCCTTAGAACCGACTTTTGGTTTTGCCTTATCTTTGAAGTCAAGCTTCACCGTTTCTATCTTTTTATCACCACCGCCAGGCTTATACGTCGCGTTGTCTAGTGATCCGACTTTCGGTTTTGCATTCCACTGAAGCTTAACTTGAGCGATCTGCAGTGAATTTTTTAAAACGATTAAATATAATTGTTTTCTACGATAATGAAATAGTGATTAGAATATGGACCTTTTTGTCACCACCGCTCGGGGCGTATTTCTCGTTCTTCGCAGCGATCTTTGGCTGTGCTTTGCTGAAATCGAGTTTTCTATTCTCTATCTTCACTTTCCCACCGCCCGGCTTGTAACTCGCATTGTCCAATGAACCGATCTTCGATCTAACTGTTTTCAAATTCGGGGACGGCGCCGCTCCCACTTGAATTTTGTTCATAGGTAGTTCTGCGTTTGATAATAATTATCAATACGCGTTCTCACAGAAGTTACTTAATAATCACTCATTTTTACACTTACTTTTCTTCTCCAGGCCACCTGTCGACGAAGGGGTGTCTGGTGTTCGCGGTAACGATTTGACGGATTTACTTGGCGATTTCACAGGCGATCCAGCTGTCGACCTTTTATCGGCTTCTGTTAACTTCGAGGGTGACTTCTTCATCGGGGAATCTGCATCCCCATTCGTAGTTGGTCCCTGCGATAATTATTTCTCCTCAATGCAATAATTTCTAATATATTATATAAAATGGTACATAAAAGATGAACAATTTATACTTCGTTGCATGAATATTTACCGCGTTGGACTGCATCGATTCGTTTGTCACACTGCCATTCTCGATTTCTGTAAAAATATACAAAATTCATATAATATTCTTACTATGTATTAAATATATTTAATAAAATATAGTAGCATTCGTGAAGCAAAATCTCAGATCAAATCTGGGAACTAACAAATATCCTCCGCATTTTTCAATCTAAATCCAATGATATATTTTTTTAATACCGTCTGTAATGTTTTTTAAACGTAAATAGAAACCTGATGTCTTCGCTGATTTCTTATCCGATCTTTCCTTTGATTTCATTGGCGTTCCCCGTTTCGTTACAGCTGATTTTGACGCAGTCTTCGACTCCGATTTATTATCAACTTTTTTCTGCTTGTTCGACTCGTCAACGAGCGTAGTTTTCTTGGATTCATTCTTCTCCAATTTATCATTAGCAATCGGTGATTTGGGTGATTTGGGGGACGCAGGCGAGCGTGGACTTCGCGATGGCGAAGATTTAAGCGACAATGATTTTTGCTGTCCATCGTCGAAGCCTTTTACGCCTTCTGGCGACTTCGGAGGCAATAATAACGTCTCGGGAACTTTCATCTGATCTAACGGACGTGATTCCTGCGCCTTGCTTTCTTCCTTCTTAGATAAGTTCATCTTCGATTCTGAAGGATCTTTAGAAGGCAGAATATCAGGTTCTGTTAAGTTCGGTGATTTCACCTGTTTCGATTCTTTCTCATTAGATTGATTATCTTTAGCCGACGATTTAATCGATTCTTCAGGAGGTTTAGGCGACTCCACTTTATTTTGATTCACTTCTACTGGAGTCGTTGCACGTGGCTTTTCCAACTCTTTAGACAGCAACTTTAATTCCTGTTCATTTTTACCCTCCTTTATTTCTTTCGACAAATTCGTGTCTGGTTTGTTCTGTGTCACAGGCATCTTTAACTCCTGTTTTTCTTGTCTCGGTTTCGTTTCGTGTTGCTCCGAATTCGTTTCACCGGGCGTACTAGCACGCGACTTATTTGGAGATATAGTCTTCAGTTCGTTTCCACTATTGTCTGATGAATTTTCTTGCGACTGCTGCGGCGACTTGGATAAAGTTTTCAATTCGTGCGCCAGGTCATTTCTATTCGTCTCTATCGGTGTGTTCGCACGTGATCTATCCGCTGATTTCGGTGTCTTTAATTCCTGTTGCTTTTGATCTGCCGCGTCTGGCGTGCCAACGCGAGATTTATTTGTCAGAGGAGATTTAGGAGGTGTCTGACTCGGTGGAGCATTGTCATTTAATTTTGTCGTCAGGTGCATAGGCGGTAGTTCAGGCTTCTTAACAGAAGGCGAATTAATTTCGTTTTGTCTCGCGGGGCTCTTCGCGCTTCCTTTCTCGTTCACGATTTGATCTTCCACCAACTTTTTCTCTTCCATCTGATTGCGAGCGTCGTTTGCTTCCTGCTTGTTCATCGACGACAATCTATTATCGCTTTCCACCGCGTTGAAGTCTTTGACAGATTTCTTGTCGTCAATTATATCAGGGACTTTCTCCAAAGCCGCGTCAGGCTTGCCGTCAATCTTACCATTTATCGTAGCAGTTTCCGGTCTTTTCACCGGCTGAACGACTTCCTTCTTCGACAATTTAGTCTCGATCAGCTCGTCCTGATTGGTAGCGTTCCCGTTAGCGCGCGGAGACTTCCCGTCCATTACGACGTCGTCGTCGTCGTCGTCGTTCTCCGTGTTCTCGCGCATTTTTTCCCTCGACGCCGCGTTCTCGAATTGCTCGAGCTTCCTCGAATTGTCGACGTCGGTCATTCTGCCGATTACTATGCGTGGAACTACGGGTTTGTTGTCTTCCCCTCGATACGGTGGACCTTGTCGAGTTTGTAGATTCAACAGCGACTCATCGCGTCGCAACTGCCTTTGAATCTCAGGATTCCGTCCCTGTTGAGGTAAGCCCTGATGCTCTGTCCTCGGCTGCTGCGCTGCTCGTTGCACGTTCCCTTCCGGCTTCTGCGGCGGGTAATTCCCAGGAGGCGGTGGCCTGGGTCCTAGCTGCGGGCCAGGGCGCGGAACAGGCGACGAAGGATAACGTGGGTTCAAAACCGTCGGTTGATTCTGATTTTGATCTGGCTGCGGTCTCGGGGGAAACGAGCCGGGTCTTGGATTTCCGTACGGAGGTCTCGCGAATTGACCCGGATTCACTGGGCCAACGGGTCGATTCTCGAAACGTATTTGCTGGATCGGTCTCGGTCGAGGCTGTCCTACGGGACCATTATCTATAGGCTGCCTCGGCACTCCAGGTGGACCTTGCGGTCTCGCCCGAAAGGCAGATGACAACGGCGGGCTCGGTTTTACCTGTGAAATAATAACGTTACTCACGACCATTCGCGAGGTTACGATTTTTTAATGTTTATTTTATGAAGAATCCTAAATAAAAGTGTTCTAAATATTTTGTGACTTTATTTAGAATTCATTGCCATAAACATTACTGCCGATAATAATTAATAATTTCTACCAATCGAATCGTTCGGATTTCAATAATTGGGACGAGACGAAGAATTAGCATGGGAAATTCTGATCGTTGAGATCGGCCCTGAGGCCATCGATCAGTCAGTAACACAAAACGTTGACGTTCCGAAGATTCGTATTTACCGTGCCTGCCACCGTTCGACTTTGTCTACTAGTTATGGGATTAAACCACGAATGACTATAGTGTGGCATCGTCCATCCATCGCGATCCAACAAGCACCGTTTCAAGCTGGCGTGACCTACGGCAGTAGCTTTCCTCCTCAGAACCTGCGCCTATTTACTCTTATTTCCTCGCGGAATTCGTCACGGAAAACATTCGCAGAAGCTTGCCAAAATCGCTCATACGTGCACCTTTCGTATCGTTTATAATTAAAAACTATTTTACTCTTTTCATTTAGAAAAATAAAGTAGACTGTAGGTTCGCATAATTCTTTTTGTGTTTTTATGAATTGCAAAATTTCGTATCTGTTGCAATTTTGCAGCTTACCGCAGTTGGTTCGCGGTCCGACGGGGACTCGGCCGCGTTTCTTGCAGTCTCTTGCGAATCCATTTTCAAATCTTTCATACGAGCTTAGAATTTAGGTCGACTGGGCTATCTCGTCACCTCTGAGAAGATATCTGTCCTTATAAACCTGTTGCGAATCAACGGTCGAGTCATTGCGTCAAAGACAGAGAGAGAAAGACAGAGAGAGAGAGAGAGAGAGTCGTAAGTGCTGATGCTTCCAACCAGTCTACGTTGTGCCTAATTAATTATATTCAATGAAAGACACTAGTCTTGATGCGTGAATCATCATATCAGTACGCAAACGATGCTCCGGGAAGCTTGTTCAATGAAAATAATAATTGTTCTAATTTTGCAAGAAAACTTTCTCGTCTCCAACTACAATTAGGAAGAACAGTTAATTTCCTACAGAGAAAAGATTCATTCACACGGTGTGCGCGACAGCTGACATACTCAATGACAGAGTCGTTGAAAATCCGAACTACTGATTCCGTGAACAATTCAGCGAAAATTAGAGGTGCGATTTGCACGGTTGTTGCTTCTACCTGTCTCGACGTTTGCTTACGGTGCGTGCTACTGTTATACCCTTCAATTAGGAAATTACCGCCGGCTGTATACGTGCCTATAAGTACTCGCTACTTGCTAAGTAATGTGATTATAGTATACCGGCGTCGGCGTCAACTTTCTTTCCATGTATTTTGTTAGTGCCGCTATGATTACCTGTGAACTAGTGGATATGAACGTGATAAAAGGGCAAATCATCTACAATTTCGTTTTATTATCCTGTTCGTGAGAAACATTCTTTTATGTGCAGTCATTCAAACGAATTTCTGAATTTATTCAGTAAATAAATGTTTTGTACTTGGTTGTTATCGGTTATTACTCTCTAGGGAGTGATTGGGCAGTTCAGTGATGATTTCTGTTCTAAACCGGAAACAGGGATAAAGCCAAAGTACAAATGTATTGCTATTTGACGTCAGAATTCAATCAATATTAAAAAATCGCAGAATAAATATTTATAAAAAATAATATAACGTTATTTTATCAATATAGACATTTTTATTTCTAAAAAATTATTAGAAACGTTAATTTTTATTTCACTGACGTATTGACATTAAACATATTCACTTATTAATTTTGACATTTCGTGATTGGAACATGCAACTTCCGGTTTAGGTACATTTTTATGTAGGTGTCCATTCCCTCCCTGAAGAGTCGTCTATAATGAAGGCTTTTTGTAATATAAAATAGTTGCAGAAATTGCAGAAGTTGAACTTTAATCGCTCCAATTGTAGAACCACGGTAGGATCATATTTCTACCTATAATGGTAGAATCGTCTGACCTTGGCGGTTTAGTACTACTAGATACCACGAAACAACGTCGGCTTCGTGTAAAAGGCTAATAAATGAAGCGTGTAACGCACTCCTACTAATCACATTTCCGAATGTATGAAAGTTACTTAACGATAACGAATAAAATCTGGACGAATGTTAATTAAAACATATCAGGCCTGGTCTCTCATGATTAAATAATATAATGTCTAACCTTCTGATAACCTCCAGACGTACTTATTATCGGCCATCTACCACCCTTCGTTCACGAAACTGACCAGTAACAAGGCCACGTCTCCTTTACACCCTTCTTTATTTTACCAATCGTTCGTATTATCAATTTTTCAGACTCTAGCGTGAATTTCGTGTGAACCACATTTCAGTGAACACGTGAACGAGTTATCTGATGATCGAAAATAGCTACGAAGTAGAACATTTAATTGCGATAGTTTACAGGTCGTTTCTTTCGGAATCAACAACATTAGGGTAGAACTTTATGTTCCATTTATTTTCACAGTTTATTTAGGCACAGAAATTTTTTACCCAAAAAGATCAATTTTATATTTAACTTTTTTTAATCTTGAGACTTAATTTCCCATCTGATTTGAATTGGCAAAAATCAAATTGATCGAGTTTAATGCTCAGGATGGGATCTTTAGGAAAGGCTGGTAGCTTTTTTTTATTTTTTACCCAAAAACAAGGATTAATTTTTTATTTATTACTCCAAAATGAAGATTACTTTTATATATAGCTTATTTTTAAGACGTGCATTCATATCTTGGTTGAAGGAATTGGCAGAAATCAAACTGCTTGAGCTCCTTAGGCCGGGAGCTCAACGCTCGGGAGGGGATCTCTAGGAAAGGCTTTTAGGGTTTAGGTCGCTGGTACGTCAAAGTGTTCCGTTCCCATTCTGCGGCGGAGACCGAGAAACGGGTCATACACAGGGTGTCTGCACGACTCCGGCAAGTACCCATTCCTGAAGTTATTGATCCGACCCGGTGAGCGTGTTCGACTCCGCCGTTTACATGCACGCGGATGCACACCGTTTAATACGGTTAAGTTAACTCGCTAACGAGTGTCACGCTTGTCAGAAAAGAACTTCGGCGCTTAGCGTCTCGCGATCCGCGCCGGCGAGGACGCGGAGCCATCCTCCACGCGGGAACCGCGTGAAAAAACGTCTGGTCACGTTATTTTCCTATGGAATTTAACTGTGGACCACTAATCACTCTTATGGATCACTAATTACGTCTGTCAGTGTACAAATAATTATCATGCATGAAGTAATTGGTGTCGAGAATAAAAAAAAGTTGATGCGTTACGTAAGAATCTGTCCTGTTGCGAATTTTTAACTCGACGTTCTATCCCGTTCAAATGGTCGTTTGGATTCGTTGGTCATTTCGAAGGGAAACTCGACGCATTAATTTATTTAATCGTCATGACGTTTAACACGGCTGCGCGATAAATTTCATTATTTTCAATTGCTCGCGATCGATGCGCTGTCTAACGCAAACGTTATTTCTAACGAACTGCAACCAGGTCAATGAATGTAAACGCTATCAAATTTTTAGACACGATTCGACATACTACAAAGGCTCCACTTCCTTCGACAGTTTACGTCTCTCTTTGAAAATTAAGTTCATAAAATATACGGCTGTTGGTAATT